AGTTACCATTTTGGAATACCACATTCTTAGTTCAAGATATTAATTCTGTGATTTACTTTGTTTTCGTAGCTAACTGATTACTTCCATTCGTATTAGTTTGTGTTAAAACCTAAGTAGAAGAAAATATTGGTCTTTTCTTGGCATTTGCGAAAACTTTTGGATTTTCATGTAATATTATTTTATTGAAGAATTTGTGGTTGAAAAGAAGGGCGAGAAAAATGTATTTTGGAAAAAATGGGATCAAACTTGGGCTTATATAATGAATGGTGTCTGGATGTTAGTTGTTTGTCAGGAGGGGTGAATTTTTATTTTTAATAGAAATCTCAAACTTTTTATGCCCAAAAATGTTTCCTGGGTACTGATATTTCCTGATTTTTTTTGTTAGTTTCTTCTATTTTTCTTCTTCTGAAAAGTAAAGAGTAAAGAGAAAAAAGTACAAGGCTCTATGGAATTATGTTGGTCATTCATGGCAGTTTATGAGATTCTAAAATAGGAAGCTACCAAATGTTTTATGACTTTATGGATTCCTCTTTACCTTTTCCTCCTTTTTCTGTCCTCTATTTCCAGGTATTTTTCATTTTGCTTCTAGCATTGTGTCATGCCGCAGAATACAATGGAATATGCAAGTCTGATTGGCCGTTGACACCGAGGCCTCATAGCGTGTCTGTCTTGGAATTTGGAGCAGTCGGGGATGGGAAAACATTAAATACTTTGGCATTTCAGAATGCCATTTTCTATCTTAAGTCCTTTGCTGACAAGGGTGGTGCCCAACTCTATGTTCCAGCCGGCAAGTGGCTTATTGGAACCATCAATCTTACCAGCTATCTTACACTCTTCCTGGAAAAAGATGCCATTATTCTTGGCTCTCAGGTTATCGCTCTAGTACCAATTTTCTTGAACCCCTTTTAGTAATAAAGAAAAATGCATTTTGCATGTTGATCTTGGAAGACACTGCTGTTCTTCTATTTAAGCATACACATCAAACAGTTGCCATCTATTATGCACTGATGTTCCTCAAAAATTGACATCACAAAGACCAAGTCCGAGGTTGATGCTCGGGCTCATCCAACATTTCCCATTTGCAGCGCTCTTGTTATCAGTGCCTGCAATTGCAAAAATGGCAATAGGGACTTCCCCTAAGGCCCCTCTGACCATCAAATCGGAAAGAAAGGGGGATTCAGTATATGACTGTCTGTAAATTGTAGGATATACTGTCAAACCTTTTTGCCTTGCACAGATGGTTATATAGTTGAGTTAGTGTTTTTAGTAATCTCATGTATTAGGGAGAAATCGAGTGTCCTGATCTCCTGATTATTATCTGGCTCCTTTAGAAGTATACATATTAATGTTCTTGTTAATGCTCTTTATATAATTTATTACACTGTTTCTCTTTGCATCCTGGAACCCACTTGATCATGCTTCGTAGAACTTGTCTACAAGGCTACTTAAAATGCAAAATCTCAAGATATATTTTACTACTACTAATAAAAAGAATTTATTATCCATTGAGCGCGCTGTTTCTTTCATACATTATGTGTTAATTAAATTAGCTATCTTAGATATTCAGCTGAGGTTTTTCATTAGACGAGTTTCAGCATTTTATGTTGCTGTATGATCTATTCAAGCTCATATCTCTTGCTTGTGTAGGATTATAATCACTGGGATGTAGTTGATCCCTTGCCTTCTTATGGCCGAGGCACTGAGCTACCTGGGCGAAGATATCGCAGCTTGATTACAGGACGTGATTTAACTGATGTGGTGATAACAGGTATCAATTTTCCCAGAAACATAGTCAATTTGCCATTCATTTCTAGCATTAAAGACATTGTCCCATTCTCTCTCTTTGATCACTAAACTTTTCTTGTTCCAAATTAATCTGTGAACTTCCTTTTCTATTTCCAGTTAGGCTTGCTGTTTATCTCTCTCTGTGAAATTGACTAAAAATTTTGACATGGCATGAAAGATTTTTTAGTGTATTGTTTCATTGATCCAGCTAGGCAAAACAGCCTCTGGTTAGAGTACTTGGGCTTTTGCAATGTGCCTTTTCAAAGTAATAAAAGAAATAAAAAAGGAAAAAAATAATAAAAGAAAGGCTTAGTATGCCTCTCCCCCCACCACCATATCAGCATTTCTGTTAATTTGACATATCATCACCATAGGTTCAATTTTGTCTCCCTTTATTATTCCATTCTTGTTCAGTATCCTTACTTTCTACCTACTTTACAGGTAACAATGCAACTATTGATGGTCAGGGTTCAGTTTGGTGGGAAAAATTCAGTTCTCATTCTCTAAATTATAGTCTGCCACATCTGGTGGAATTCATAAGCTCAAACAATATTGTTATATCAAACTTAACCTTCCTAAATCCCGCTGCTTGGAACATTCGTCCAGCTTACTGCAGGTATCTCGCTATACTTTCTTGAACTTCTGACTTCTTTTTTTCAAAAGCATATTAAAGATTCATTTAGTTTTAACATGTTTGTTTTTATTATGTCTTGTGATACAGTAAAGTCCTAATCCAGAACATAACAGTCCATGCTCCTCCAGACTCTCCACACACCAGTGGGATAGTCCCAGGTCTTTTAAAACTCTACTTAATCACATGCATATTTTCATTCATGTTTTCTCATGAATATGCGTCTTAGGTTACATGTGTGCTCAACTAAAGATAAATTCTGATGTCAAAACCTGTGCAATACTTCTTTTGCCAAAAACAGAACCCTATTGAAATGACAGATGCATGTATGGCTACTCTTAAAAAATTTACTCGTATGTTTACTTGTAAGTAAATAAATAATTATTTTGTTGATCGAAGTTGGAAATAACTATCTTATGGTCGAAATGAGTAACTTCTGGATACATAAATAAGAAAAAGGTAAAAGGTAATCTATCTGAGCATATTTGGAAGTAACTACATTCATAGGCTGCCAATTTTTCGAGATAGGTCAAACTAGGAAGAAAATGGAAAAGGAACACCAAGTGCAATAAAAGAAACAAGCAACCGATCATTAGATATATGCTTAAATTTTCTCATTAGTTAAAATTAAACTTAGTCCAAGAGGCTGCTAATTAATGTTAGCTACATTCATGGGCTGACAATTTCAAGAAAGGTCAAACTAGGAAGAAAATGGAGAAGGAACACCAAGTGCAATCAAAGAAACAAGCAATTGATCACTAGATATATGCTTAAATTTTCTCGTAAGTTAAATTTTAAGCTTAGCCCAACAGGCTGCTAAACAATGTAACCACGTTCGTAGGCTGACAATTTTTCAAGATAGGTCAAACTAGGATGAAAATGGGAAAAGGAACATCAAGTGCAATCAAAGAAACAAGCAACTTATCACTAGATATATGCTTAAACTTTCTCATAAGTTAAAATGTTAAGCTGAATCCAACTGTTTGCTAATTAATGTCACCTAGCATCCACCTTATTTATCCTAGTTATATTAGGCTTCCCATTCTATTATTTCCATGTATAGTAAAATAATGAAATGTGAATTTCAGATTCTTCTGAGTATATTTGCATCGAGAATAGCAACATTAGCATGGGTTATGATTCTGTCGTGCTTAAAAGCGGTTGGGATGAATATGGAATTGCATATGGCAAACCAACCACTAATGTCCATATTCGAGGGCTCCGCTTGCACTCTTATTCAGGCACTGGCATGGCTTTTGGTAGCGAGATGTCAGGTGGCATTTCCAGTATACTGGTTGAGAACCTTCACGTGCTCGACTCACTAATTGGAATCGAGCTGAAAACTGCTAGAGGAAGAGGGGGCTACATCAAAGGAATTTACATATCAGACGTGTTCTTGGAAAATGTACAGCAAGGAATTAAGGCAACAGGTCAGTGGGATACACATCCAGACGACCAATATGATCCCTTAGCGTTGCCCGTGGTCAGTGAAATTACCTTTACGGACATAACTGGCATAAACATTACTACGCCGGGCTACTTTTCTGGTATTAAGGAATCTCCCTTCACTTCAATATGTCTCTCCAATGTTTCTTTCTCCGTTACTTCAGACCCATCCACATCATGGGTTTGCTCCGATGTGTCGGGTTCCTCGAAAAACGTGACACCTGAACCATGTCCAGAACTTCAGAGCTCAATTTCTAATTTTTCTTCGCAGTGTTCGTTCCTTTCATATCCAAATAGTCAAGTTGCATATTCTTGATTCAAAGTGCCTAAAGCTCAAATATTCATTCATTGATCTGTACAATGCAATACAACATTCCCTCAACCAGTTATGGTGCATAATCTTCCAATAATGTGCGAATTGGAAACTTCCATCTCGTGCCTTTTCAATCTATCATCGACAAACTATATCATGCTGCAAATTCTCCCGAGTGGTGTCCGTTTATATTCCCATTCCTTGTGTACAGTGTCGTTTTCTTTATTCGTGTGTAAGAAAAGTTTTGGTAGTGCAGAACGACTCGGATACTTGTTTCTTTCAGCATTATTCTTCATTTCAAATTATTAGTCATTTCATTCACATTGTAAATTCGGGTGGAGGCTGAAACAGTGTCACGATTGAAGACTTATAGAGTTGGAAATTGCAAGAATGGTTCCTTTTCGTTTTTCCATTGCATTATATGCATGTAACTATGTACGCTTTCTTGTGTTTGTGATTTTTTCGTGCTTATTTTGTCTTAAAAGGTTTGATTTGAGCTCCTTCCCTGTGGGACTTTGTTGACAGGCATATCATTTAAGGCACAAATCATGAAAACGCTGTGATGAAGAAAAATGAATTAGATCAATCACACGATGACGATCACGTCTGGTTCCAAGTTCCAACTACCGTAATCGAAATAATTTATACAATGGAATGATAATCCATCTCTATTTTGGAAGTTGAGTGTGTTTGGTACACTCCATTGATACCACTGGACATCATAATATGATATTTCTTCCATAATCGTGTCGAACTTCGGCTTACTAAACAGAATATGAGGATGTCTGAATTATGAAAGAAAGGGGAAAATGTTAAATAGTGTCATCATCGTGGTCTCCAGGAGGTCAAAAAGTCCAGCATCATAAATTGATCTCTTTCCCTAGTCTGATAAAACTGCAAATAAATGGCCAAAAATATCAATAATAATATTTCTAAGCCAACTAATCAAGTTATCAAATCCTTTTTCTTAGCTTTACTCACCTGAATAGGCTTCTTGAATTTGTTGGAACTTATTTTTAGCTTGGTGGGATCCTTAATCCACCTCTCTGGGTGCAATTTCTGTAATAACGACCAATTCGTTTTCTTCTTTGATACGAATTTCAGCATCCAAAGCCTGTTTACAAATCCCCAGCACAGAATAAAAACATGAGCTCTCATTCTGAACTATTTCTTTACCTGACATTCTCAAGAGCCAAGAAAATTTGCAGAAATTTTGGGTTGTAAAGAATGGAAATTAGTCGTACTAGTTCAATTATGTCCCTGTTTTTAAGTAACTGTTGAAGATATGTGAAATGTAGACTACAAAATGCCGACATTTTTGGGTTTATGAAATCTAGGGATCTAATGTATCTGCTTGTGAATCACAGTTTCTCCAACTTTAAAATGTGTGGTGTTCATGTTAGTAGGCGTGTTTTGTGGTCTCATCTCATGGGCAACGGCTATTGCATTTAACATTTCATGAGGATTTTACATTTTTTACAAGGTATTGAAAATAAAATTTGAAACAAATCTCTTCCAAAGTTTGCTTTACCTTAAATGGTTCAGTGTCAACCTTGAATTAGAAAATGAGCGTGGTATATACCAAATTTGGAGAAAATAAATTTGATATATGACGTGAAAGACTACCATCCGAAGGTAGCATTCGACATAGCAGAGGACTTATCCATAAAAACATTCCGTTAAAAAGCTAGCTTAGACACACCAAAAATAAAATTAAATTTAATGATCAATCTGAAACAAAATAAAATTCGACAATTAACGTAATAGGTGGATACAACATTTATTTGCATGATTGTGATTGGACTTTATATGCAACATGTTAAATGATTAGAAAAGGAAATTCACTGTATTCAAGCTAAAACCCTTTGATTAAGCAAGCAATACCATTTTGTTTCCACCACTTTCTTATCAATTGGCTATAGGAACATGAAAATACAGGGGAAATAAACAACAGCACAAACACAAGTAGATGCTTGAACTTGGACAGTTGAATTCATTCAGGGACTTTACACATGATGAAAAATTATAAACCACAATGACAGAATAATTACTGCAACATGTCCATCCAAAACACACATTAAAGTTCTGTTTGCAGGAATCGTTCAGACACATTAACAGGGTTCAAAAATGTAGAAAGTCCTTGAAAAAAGTTGTTAACATTCAATTATCCTTGTACTAACTTATCATTATTATCAATGTCAGTATACCATTGGCCTTGACAATGTTGATAACAATTAAAATACAAAACCAATCCGAGCTTTCGTTGCACGCAAGGTATCGTTAACTCCTTCAGAACCTCTGATTGTCTGATTTCAGGAAGCTCAATCTTCAGAAAGGTTGATGGGGGTGGATCAGGAGGGAATGCTGTAACTAGAAAGCGGTGAATCATTTCAAAACTGGTAAATGTAATTACAGCAGCTGGCGTGTCCTAAGCAGATTGGTGGGGCACCCCCGGTAAAAACCCAGGATACCCTCTAGCTGAAAAACTTTCTTAATGCAGTCGACAACGCCAGAATACCGCTTCTCAGAGTGGTGCCCTTGCTCTTGAAGCCTTGAGCGCACAACCTGCATACAAGATTTGTCCATAGTATTCAGTTGTCAAAGGTGAAATTTTTTTATTGAACCTTTGTCTGGTGAAAAGGATTTAAGTAACCATGTCCATAGGTAATAAAGTTTTAATTTGTTGTTTATCAGAGTTAAAACGACACACGGTTGTTAATCAATATACAAAACAAGCATCAGTCATTTTCATTGTATATAACGATCTTGTTGTAGAGTGTTTGCATTGATATGATAAAAATATTAAAACAATACATATGGCATTTACAAGATTTATAATTTATTTCATTTAACAAATAAAAAAAACCAAATTTTTTGTACATATAACACCTATTATAAATATATATCTAAGTGTACAGTATTATTTATGATCAATGAAGTGTGAAGGAGAAAGAAGAAATCAAATGCAACACTGAAGGGAACAGATCAAGCAAACTAGTCATAGTCAAAAAAGAATCATGTTAACCAATTGCCAAATTAAAAAATATTTAAACACAAACAATATATTTACCTCTGAAAGTTTTTAAGCATCTTTCTCTATTGTCTTGGATATTTTGGGAGTCGCTGCCAGCTCGTCACGCCTTGTGTTCTTTTTATAATAGTAACCTTGGTGCTCTTGCTCGAAAAGATACTGAATCTTCTTGACCACCAGTCTAAATACTCTTTTGTAACTAGGGGGCTTTCTTTGGACAAGCGGGCTGGTATCACTACTTTAGAACCAGTGCCTAAGCGAGTACAAGAAAACCATAGCTGGATAACTTCCTTCAAGGTGCCGGTGTGAAGCTCTTTCTTTAGATTACCAGGAATATCTTGACAAAAACCAAATTGCCTGCTGAACCTGCAGGGACTATAAGTTTCAATGACATGCTCGTTGTCGCACCGGAAGATCAAGAAGCTTGAACGAAGGTTGATAAAGTAATCACTCCAATAAGTGGACAGATTTCCATCGTCAACTACAATCAATTGTTTGTCTTTGGACATGCAAGAATTCGGCAAATCTGATTGGTTGACGTCTTGAAAAATGTTGTGGGCCTCTAAAGCATTAAAATACTTGGCCATTCTCTCACCAGCAAGTTTGATCATTTGGGCACCAGAACGAAGCCGGCTATGGTGGTGGTGAGTCTCAAAGTACTGCCCGAGCCAAACATAGACATAATGAATTGGAAAGACAGCTTTGCGCTCCTTTAGGTTTGAAGAGGAAACAAGCTGTCTCAAACCATTATAGATGCTGGCAAGGACCGGCCAAAGAAAATCTCTGCCCGCAGGCCGCTTGCTACTTTGAAGACAAAACGGCCGGATGCGATTGACTTCTTTATGTGGCAGAACTAATTTGCAAAGCCAACAAGACAAAAGTGCTGCTAAACCCTTC